GTTTGTCAGCATCTGGGAGTATACCATCCCTTGAGGTTTGTCAGTATCAGGAAGTATTCCATTTCTTCAGGTTTGTCAGTATCTGGGAGTATTCCATTTCTTCAGGTTTGTCAGTATCAGGAAGCATACCATCCCTTGAGGTTTGTCAGCATCAGGAAGTATACCATTCCTTGAGGTTTGTCAGCATCTGGGAGTATACCATCCCTTGAGGTTTGTCAGTATCAGGAAGTATTCCATTTCTTCAGGTTTGTCATTATCAGGAAGCATACCATCCCTTGAGGTTTGTCAGCATCAAGAAGTATACCATTCCTTCAGGTTTGTCAGCATCAAGAAGTATAACATTTCTTCAGGTTTGTCAGTATCGGGAAGTATACCATTCCTTGAGGTTTGGCAGCATCAAGAAGTATACCATTCCTTCAGGTTTGTCGGCATCTGGCAGTATAACATTCCTTCAGGTTTGTCAGCATCAAGAAGTATAACATTTCTTCAGGTTTGTCAGTATCGGGAAGTATACCATTCCTTGAGGTTAGTCGGCATCTGGCAGTATAACATTCCTTCAGGTTTGTCAGCATCAAGAAGTATAACATTTCTTCAGGTTTGTCAGTATCTGGAAGTATACCATTCCTTGAGGTTTGTCGGCATCTGGGAGTATACCATTCCTTGAGGTTTGTCAGTATCAAGAAGTATACCATTCCTTGAGGTTTGTCAGCATCAAGAAGTATACCATTCCTTCAGGTTTGTCAGCATCTGGGAGTATACCATTCCTTGAGGTTTGTCAGTATCAGGAAGTATACCATTCCTTCAGGTTTGTCAGTATCAGGAAGTATTCCATTCCTTCAGGTTTGTCAGCATCTGGGAGTATACCATTTCTTGAGGTTTGTCAGTATCAGGAAGTATACCATTCCTTGAGGTTTGTCAGTATCAGGAAGTATACCATTCCTTGAGGTTTGTCAGCATCTGGGAGTATACCATCCCTTGAGGTTTGTCAGTATCAGGAAGTATTCCATTTCTTCAGGTTTGTCAGTATCAGGAAGTATACCATTCCTTGAGGTTTGTCAGTATCAGGAAGTATACCATTCCTTGCGGTTTGTCAGCATCTGGGAGTATTCCATTTCTTCAGGTTTGTCAGTATCAGGAAGCATACCATCCCTTGAGGTTTGTCAGCATCAGGAAGTATACCATTCCTTGAGGTTTGTCAGCATCTGGGAGTATACCATCCCTTGAGGTTTGTCAGTATCAGGAAGTATTCCATTTCTTCAGGTTTGTCAGTATCAGGAAGTATACCATTCCTTGAGGTTTGTCAGTATCAGGAAGTTTACCATTCCTTGAGGTTTGTCAGCATCTGGGAGTATTCCATTTCTTCAGGTTTGTCAGTATCAGGAAGCATACCATCCCTTGAGGTTTGTCAGCATCAAGAAGTATACCATTCCTTCAGGTTTGTCAGCATCAAGAAGTATAACATTTCTTCAGGTTTGTCAGTATCGGGAAGTATACCATTCCTTGAGGTTTGTCAGCATCAAGAAGTATACCATTCCTTCAGGTTTGTCGGCATCTGGCAGTATAACATTTCTTCAGGTTTGTCAGCATCAAGAAGTATAACATTTCTTGAGGTTTGTCAGTATCGGGAAGTATACCATTCCTTGAGGTTTGTCGGCATCAAGAAGTATACCATTCCTTCAGGTTTGTCAGCATCTGGGAGTATACCGTTCCTTGAGGTTTGTCAGTATCAGGAAGTATACCATTCCTTCAGGTTTGTCAGTATCAGGAAGTATTCCATTCCTTCAGGTTTGTCAGCATCTGGGAGTATACCATTTCTTGAGGTTTGTCAGTATCAGGAAGTATACCATTCCTTGAGGTTTGTCAGTATCAGGAAGTATACCATTCCTTGAGGTTTGTCAGCATCTGGGAGTATACCATCCCTTGAGGTTTGTCAGTATCAGGAAGTATTCCATTTCTTCAGGTTTGTCAGTATCTGGGAGTATTCCATTTCTTCAGGTTTGTCAGTATCAGGAAGCATACCATCCCTTGAGGTTTGTCAGCATCAGGAAGTATACCATTCCTTGAGGTTTGTCAGCATCTGGGAGTATACCATCCCTTGAGGTTTGTCAGTATCAGGAAGTATTCCATTTCTTCAGGTTTGTCAGTATCAGGAAGCATACCATCCCTTGAGGTTTGTCAGCATCAAGAAGTATACCATTCCTTCAGGTTTGTCAGCATCAAGAAGTATAACATTTCTTCAGGTTTGTCAGTATCGGGAAGTATACCATTCCTTGAGGTTTGGCAGCATCAAGAAGTATACCATTCCTTCAGGTTTGTCGGCATCTGGCAGTATAACATTCCTTCAGGTTTGTCAGCATCAAGAAGTATAACATTTCTTCAGGTTTGTCAGTATCGGGAAGTATACCATTCCTTGAGGTTAGTCGGCATCTGGCAGTATAACATTCCTTCAGGTTTGTCAGCATCAAGAAGTATAACATTTCTTCAGGTTTGTCAGTATCTGGAAGTATACCATTCCTTGAGGTTTGTCGGCATCTGGGAGTATACCATTCCTTGAGGTTTGTCAGTATCAAGAAGTATACCATTCCTTGAGGTTTGTCAGCATCAAGAAGTATACCATTCCTTCAGGTTTGTCAGCATCAAGAAGTATAACATTTCTTCAGGTTTGTCAGTATCGGGAAGTATACCATTCCTTGAGGTTTGTCGGCATCTGGGAGTATACCATTCCTTGAGGTTTGTCAGCATCTGGGAGTATACCATTCCTTGAGGTTTGTCAGTATCAAGAAGTATACCATTCCTTGAGGTTTGTCAGCATCTGGGAGTATACCATTCCTTGAGGTTTGTCAGCATCAGGAAGTTTACCATTCCTTGAGGTTTGTCAGCATCAGGAAGTTTACCATTCCTTGAGGTTTGTCAGCATCAGGAAGTTTACCATTCCTTGAGGTTTGTCAATGTCATCTGAACCTTGTACACAGCACCCCTCATATCCTAGACAAATGTGTAATGAAATGTATGTGTTACTTACAACTGAGTGACCTGAAGTGTACTGGTATAATTGTCTGTTGTCTTTATGCTACATTCAGCACTATTCCAGCTACATAACAGCAGCTCGTGGTTGATAGCATGATCACCACCCCCTCGTGCTCACAGCAAGCCACCCAGCCAATACAAGAAGGCAGCTATTTGTTTAGCTACAGTTCCGAAGATATAGCGAAGCCAAATTTAGCATCAAATTGAAGATTAACTTTGGTTTGAGACTGAAAGGTAGTTAAAAATGTTTCCAATATTAAAGATGTCTGAAGACATAATTCATGGATTTGATCCACAAACTGGAACCATGAGTGACGCTTACATTAGCTGGGTACCCTTCTGTATACAGGATCCTACCCAGGGTATTACAATGGTACCCACAACAGCCCTCTCCACAACACAAAGGTCTCGCTCTGCCCCAGGAGACAGCTGATATAAGTTGAACATTCTCAGATCATTCTTAGTGAGTGAGTTGGATTTTACACTGCTATTAGCAGTATTCCAGCAATATCATGGCAGGGACACCAGAAATTCTCTTCACACATTGTACCCATGTGGGGAATCAAACCTGGGTCTTCAGCATGACGAGATAACGCTTTAAACACTAGGCTACCCCACCGCCCCAGATCATTCTGAAGGCGTATGATTCATTTCAGTTCACGCAACTTGACTGCAACATTTGTTTGACTGAAAGTCGGACTGTTTCATTTACCAGTTGATGCGCAGCCAATTCTTTTATTAAAGTAAATGTAAACAACAGTTAGATTACCTCCTAGTTCAGTTTATGGCTGGATATATGCAAACTTAAGTATATTGTTTGGCTTGGAGTCAGCATTCTTTGTCTGAGTGGGGGATTCATGTTAAACTGTGGCATGGTATCTCAGTGGGCTAGCACTATACAACCAGCATGCATGCCCGCGTACCTTGTTAAAAAGTAAAACCTCATCTCACATCCTACAAAGTGAACCACGTCCAATGAAAGTCATTATGACATCAGGGGGCACAGGTGGCCCGGTCGTTTCGCCACGATTCACTGTGCAGAGTTGCCAACATGGCTGCTGGTTGAGAAACGTCCATTCCATTGACAATACAATGTTTCATCCACATGGGATTCTTGATTAGAGTGAGTGAGTATGGTTTTACGCCGCTTTTAGCAATATTCCAGCAAAATCACGGCGGGGAACACCTGAAATGGGCTCACACATTGTAACAATGTCGGGAATCGAACCAGGGTCTTCGGCATGAAGAGCGAACGCTTTAACCACTAGGCTACCCGACCGCCCACCCCTTTTGGTTAGAATAGGTTCCAGTAACCTGTAGTGATAGTAAGAGGTGACTCTGCAGATAGGGTGGTCGAGCTCGGTGACTCCATAGATTGCATGTCATTGTACCATAGCCTGGGATATTGTTCACAACATTAATCAATGGGAGTGAGTGAGTGAGTGAGTTTTACGCCGCTTTTAGCAATATTCCAGCAATATCACGGCGGGGGACACCTGAAAAGGGCTTCACACAATGTACCCATGTCGGGAATCGAACCTGGGTCTTTGGTGTGACGAGCGAACGCTTTAACCACCAGGCTACCCGACCGCTCCTTAATCAATGGACTGTCGGAGGCAGACTCAGTGACTTACATTTGTTTGTTTGTTTGTTTGTTTGTTTAACACCGCACTCAGCAATATTCAAGATATATGAAGGTGGTCTGTAAATAATCGAGTCTGGACCAGACAATCCAGTGATTGACATCATGAGCTTCGATCCACACAATTGGGAGAAGATGACATGTATCAACCAAGTCAGCGACCCTGACCACTCAATCCTGTTCGCTGTCTCTTACGACAAGCATAGTCACCTTTTACGGCAAGCATGGGTTGCTGAAGACCTATTCTATCCCGGATCTTCATGGGTCAATGACTACCATGCAACCATCTGAATATATATTTATTTAAGAACAGATGGATAACAGCAAACGATAAGCTTCAATGGTTTAATCAAGTATGAACATGACGCTATATACAAGTCAATCAGTATGATATACACAGGACAGCTAGTGTATATACCATGACAGCTTCAGGAACACGCAGAGGGCACAAAACCAACAACTGACTAACATAACATTGCATCCAGAAACAATCCAGTTTGCAGAGGACATTAATCGGCCTGCATTGACTGAGCACATCCCCCTCCAGAACTATGAGGAATAAGGAATCTACTCATGATTCCAAACTCAGAGTGAGTGAGTGAGTGAGTGAGTGAGTGAGTGAGTGAGTGAGTGAGTGAGGGAGTGAGTGAGTTTGGTTTTACGCCACGGGGGACACCAGAAATGGGTTTCACACATTGTACCCATGTTGAGAATTGAACCCATATCTTTGGCGTGACAAGCAAAAGCTTAAACCACTGGACTACCCTGCCACCCTCCAAACTCAGATCCCTTAGCAGTGGCAAAAATTGTTATTTTGTTAAAAAATTGGACTTAATCTTTTTTATTTATTTATTAAATTCAAAGGCATTTTTTTTAACATTGCATGAAGGTTAAACAAAGCATTAAAGACTCGTCCTCCTTGCCAAAACCATAACAATAGAGCACCTATAACCACACTGACATGAACTGGGCATTTATAAATCCGATGTGGGACAGACATTTGCTGTAAGTCCAGGTAAATCCCCACTTACAACAGCAGAACATGTTTCTGAAATAGACAACCCTTATCCGGTGATGGTTGTATATTTCACACTGCAATGTCAACACAATCTCACATGTTGTCCTTGTCACCTGTCACTCAGCTGTCACTGGAATCACTGCTGTGGTGACGCTTTTTCTTCTTCTGGCCGGATTTCCTTCTCCTCTGTAACATACAACCCACCTGGGATAGAAACACTCAGCTTCCCGGATTAGGGTACTGAAGACCTATTCTGTCTTAGATTAGGGTACTGAAGACCTATTCTGTCCAAGATTAGGGTACTGAAGACCTATTCTAACCAAGATTAAGGTACTGAAGACCTATTCTGTCCAAGACTAAGGTACTAAAAACCTATTCTGTCCAAGATTAGGGTACTGAAGACCTATTCTAACCAAGATTAGGGTACTGGGGACCTTTTCTGACCATGATAATGGTACTGAAGACCTATTCTGTCCAAGATTAGGGTACTGAAGACCTATTCTAACCAAGATTAGGGTACTGAAGACCTATTCTAACCAAGATTAAGGTACTGAAGACCTATTCTGTCCAAGACTAAGGTACTAAAAACCTATTCTGTCCAAGATTAGGGTACTGAAGACCTATTCTGTCCAAGATTAGGGTACTGGAGACCTATTCTAACCAAGATTAGGGTACTGGGGACCTTTTCTGACCATGATAATGGTACTGAAGACCTATTCTGTCCAAGATTAGGGTACTGAAGACCTATTCTAACCAAGATTAGGGTACTGAAGACCTATTCTAACCAAGATTAAGGTACTGAAGACCTATTCTGTCCAAGACTAAGGTACTAAAAACCTATTCTGTCCAAGATTAGGGTACTGAAGACCTATTCTGTCCAAGATTAGGGTACTGGAGACCTATTCTAACCAAGATTAGGGTACTGGGGACCTTTTCTGACCATGATAATGGTACTGAAGACCTATTCTAACCAAGATTAGGGTACTGAAGACCTATTCTAACCAAGATTAGGGTACTGAAAACCTATTCTGTCCAAGATTAGGGTACTGAAGACCTATTCTGTCCAAGATTAGGGTACTGACCAAGAGATATGTATTCTGACAAGGATTAGAATATTAGAGACCTATTCCGCCCAATATTAGGGTACTGGAGACCTATTCCGCCCAAAATCAGGGTATTGGGGACCTATTCCGCCCAAGATCAGGGTATTGGGGACCTAATTTGACCATGATAAGGGTTATGGGTACCTATTCAGCCCAAGGTTAGGGTATTGGTGACCTATTCTGCCCAAGATTTAGGTATTGGGGACCTATTCTGTCCAAGATTAGGGTACTGGTGACCTATTCTGTCCAAGATTAGGGTACTGGGGACCTATTCTGCCCAAGATTAGGGTATTGGGGACCTATTCTGCCCAAGATTAGGGTACTGAAGACCTATTCTGAACAAGATTAGGGTATTGGGGACCTAATTTGACCATGAATAGGGTAAAGGGGAACTGTTCCGCCCAGGATTTGGGTATTGGGGACCTATTTTGACCATGATTTAGCTATTGGTGACATATTCTGACCAAGATTAGGGTGTTGGGGACCTATTTCACCCCAGATTAGGGTACTGAGGACCTATTCTGCCCATGATTAGGGTATTGCGATAATTTATCATCAAATGCTGGCTCCCACAGGAGATATCGCTTGGGTAAGATCAAGCGACATCTACATTGTAGATATCGCTGCAATGAAATTGCATCACAATGCTTTGCAGACCATTGTGATGTCATTGGTTACCATGACGTCAAAATCAAATGACATCACTAATGGTTCTGCTACTGAAGCTGTTAGCAGTACTTTTTACACTAAAGACACTGCTTATTACTGTCTACAAACTGAAAAAGTTGGAAGAATGATGTCAACTCTCGTTGATATATTTGATATCAAAGACACTTGGGTGAGATTTTTTCTATATACCATCCTACACACCTTGGCATCTCTGTCGCTCTCATCGGAGGAGGAAGAATGTCTGTGCTTCTTCTTCTTCTTGTTCTTCTTCTCTTTCTTATGTTTCCTTTCCTGGACAAACAATGTTGTTCAAACATTCAAAACAGTGGACACAGTGGTCAAGGAGGACAATAACCTCACACAGACAATCGGTGATGACTAAGGGGAGATAACTCAAGTTTGTTCTTACACAAATAACCTCACACAGACAATCAGTGATGACTAAGGGGAGATAACTCAAGTTTGTTCTTACACAAATAACCTCACACAGACAATCGGCGATGACTAAGGGGAGATAACTCAAGTTTGTTCTTACACAAATAACCTCACACAGACAATCGGCGATGACTAAGGGGAGATAACTCAAGTTTGTTCTTACACAAATAACCTCACACAGACAATCAGTGATGACTAAGGGGAGATAACTCAAGTTTGTTCTTACACAAATAACCTCACACAGACAATCAGTGATGACTAAGGGGAGATAACTCAAGTTTGTTCTTACACAAATAACCTCACACAGACAATCGGTGATGACTAAGGGGAGATAACTCAAGTTTGTTCTTACACAAATAACTTCACACACAAAATCTAATTTTCTTCTCTACAATAGCTTAGTGATACGAGTAATTCATCACACAAATTGTAATAATGTGTGACAAGGTCAACAAAACAAATGAGATGGCCTAGGGAGAGAACTGGAAACAAAAGCATGATACCCTGGTCCTTGCAACTGTTACTGACAGTAACTTACTGCAATTCATCACATTAAATAAAGAAGTTGACATACATATACTATCATTTTTACTTACTTATTGTCGATATTTATGAATAAAAGTATTTAATATATACCACTGCATATTTCTAAACATTCATGTAAAAAATTGGTTCTATCTCATTTAAATCAGATAGTAGTTAATAAGTTAATGGTGTTAAGAGTTATCCCCCTAGTCGAGTCGAGGTGAGGGGAGGCGAGGTGCAATTGGGTTAATGTCACGTCCAAGATTATTGCACTTATATAGCGACGTGCATGCACTTGTGTGTGTGTGAGTGGCTGCTTGTACTAGTCCGGACTGATGCCGATTTATAGTGCTAGCTCACTGAGATACCATGCCGCAGTTTAACAACAAAATCCCACTCAGACACAGTATAATGACTCAAGCCGACCAGTCCTTGTTTTAGCCCCTTAATGCCGAGCGCCAGACAGGGTAACAACAAGTATCGTCTTTTAACGTCTTTTGGGATCGAGACCCTGACCTTCCACTCTCCAGGCGGACGCTCTACCACTAGACCACAGAGGCGGTCTTCTTAACATAAAACATTAAACTTCTGACATATATATGCGTCATAAATCTTTCACTGAATTTGAGTGAATGTGGGATGCAACTTTTCAAACACCTTTTCATAACTTCAAACTCCCAGTTGAAATTGATAGAAACAATATTGCATGAAATATTGAATTCTTTGAAAGGCATTTAGAAGTGATAGACATGAGGAGGAGTATGTCAACTTCTTTACTATTCCTCATAATAAAGAAGTTGACATCCATAAATTCTCTTTCTTAAATTTTGAATTGTATTATTGATGGGGGGGGGGGGGGGGGACTATTATGTGAACCCCCCCTCTAAAAAAGTGTGCACTATCCCCAAGAAAATACAGTAGACATGGTTGTGTAATTGTAGCATTCATTCCCCATGATAACAGCATGTATATCCATCATATAATTCAGTGTTTTTTCGAAGGAGTCCTATCAAACAGATCACAGTATCTCCTGAAGCTGATATATATTTTCCTCCAATCTTTCCTTCTTTCTCTCCCTCACCTTTTTCTTCTTCTTTTTTTCAGGAGACTGCGCCGGAGGTTGGGAGTCCGGCACATACTTTTCCAAGTCTGGGATCAGGTCATACTGCTTACCTCCCCTTTCTGCATAGCACTCCTTGGACAGGTGGCCTGTAGGGGGCGCACAGAAAACTTGTTGTCATGGTGACAAGGGACAAGGTATGACAAGATCTCAAAATGGCCAATGCTGATACATCTAACATACATGCAGGTGTTATAGTATCTAAATTTGTTTTTTCTTTCACAACTTTATTAAACAAGTCTTTACATCTTCCAGCAAAAGAATGTTTGGAAAGTGAGACAAAAAACTAACAATTAAACATACAAAAAATGTCAATTTTGAATAAAAATGGAGAAAAAAATAACATACACGATAGGTTCCACAACATTGATATTTGACACCTTAATTTGACAAAAAAGACATTGCTTGGTACTAACACCTTTGCTGACGCATTGCATAAAAACATGAACTGTACAAGTAGAGATTTAACAATACAATGAGGCTGTGATATGATAAGTAACCCAATAGTATGAAGGTGATACGATTCGTATCCTGATACAGTACTTCTATTTTATAAGTTGATATTCTTTCCATCTGCAAGAGAATCAGAACCCTAGATCATTTGTTTTTAATTTTCAGATATCGAAGATGGGACATTGTACGGCAGAAACATAAAGGCTGGAAAGCACTGTGAATGTTGTGCTATTTATAGCCACTGGGAGGTAGTAGAGAATCTGCATAAGCTTGTTGTTTGTTTCGTTGTTTTACATCAGTTATTATTCATTATTCAATCTCATTGAAATCAGATCTAAGTTCTCGCTGCCACTAAACAAAGATCTGAGGACATCCCATTATGGGTCACGTCAGAACGACCTTTCACAAACTTTGACCAGCCACTGAAATGACTAACAAGAAGTCGACATCAGCCAATTAGAAAGCAGCTTTCTCGAGCTTTACGGCACTCGTTTCAACCTGGCGACTTCCATTTCAGACTATGCTTGAAAAATATGTTAACACAGTTGTCCATTAAAATTTTGAAAACTGAACACACAAACATTCTGGAATGTCTAATACATGGTTGCGATTGACATACTGTGCAACGCCTATGTTCAAATGTAGAGAGAAAGACGATAATTTTGACGGAATCAGTCGTACGGGCCGTAACTGTCGTTCGGAAAACCCCGTGTTAGCGTTTTCGAGTTTGCATGATTAGAAAACACATTCCGACTGTCACTTTCACGATCTGGTAAGCGACGCTTTGATTGGTTGGATGAAAGGACGTTCTGACGTTACGTAATGGGATGTCCTCAGATCTTTGTTTAGCGATAGCGAGAACTAAGATCTGATTTTAATGAGATTGTATTCATATGTTTTTACACCAATATAAATTGTAATGTATCACATGTATTGAGATACATGGGTGGTAAATCGATGTACTTTGTCGTCACTCGAGGGCCTTGTATTGGGGTACAATACTGTATTGATGTATCGTTACACCACTAATTGTACATTAACTCTATCTTCATTGATACTGCAGCTTCTTAAAGATTTTACTTTAGCAGATGGCTTCCTCTTTTTTTATCAAATAATCAGAAATATAGTGTCAACTTCTTTGTAAATGTCTGTATCTACATAATATTCATACAATAGATTGGCTCCTGCCTTGACATCAACAATCTGAAGCATCATCCTACCCCGAGTTCCACATCTTGCACACTTTGTGTCGTAGATAGCTCCTAGTTCGATCTTTGGCCGTTCAGAACTGAAGCCCTGCTTCCTCCTCCGGTCGTCCATGCTACAACCAGCATGCAACATTTATGTACGTTCTGATTTGTTTTGTGTTTTTGTTAAGGGTGAGTGAGTGAAATGTCATTGATAATTTATTTTGGTTAATCTTAAATCTGAAAAACATAATTTATTGTACACATAGTTACAAGGCTTCCTTCCATTGCGTTGTCAAGGTGAGTGAGTGAGTGAGTGAGTGAGTGAGTGAGTGAGTGAGTGAGTGAGTGAGTGAGTGAGTGAGTGAGTGGGTTGCTGGGTGGGTTGCTGGGTGACTGAGTGAGTGAAGGGGTGAGTGAAGGAATGAGTGAGTTAGTGAAGGAGTGAGTGATGGAGCGAGTGATGGAGCGAGTGATGGAGCGAGTGATGGATTGAGTAAAGGAGTGAGTGAAGGAGTGAGTGAAGGAGTGAACGAGGATTACCCAAAATGACAAAGTTCAGAGACAATTAAATTCATTTTTGCACTCGATTCCAACAATTTACACACATGATAAAGTTCATAGGGGAATGTAACTGTGGGCACCATGGCCTCAGACCATCTTTTCATACTTTTCAGTTGAGAAACGTTGAGATACAAAAGTATATCTTAACTTGCCTGAGATACGAGAGACCCACCTGCCCTGCACGTTGTTGGAGTCCAAGTCCTGCCCTGTTGTCTGATTGACATATTTCATAGACAGGCCAATCTTCTGATGCTCCCCCTGGAACAAACAAACCACAATATTATTCTTGTTAATGAATATAGGATCCTTACTGTTCAAAGGGAGGTAACCGTGTGCACAGTCTACAAAAGTTGTGTCTTTTCAATCCACAGGAAAAAAGTTTATCCAAACAATTAACAAGGAAAGCGTGGTATAAATGCTTCTGCTATATATAATATATTTGTTTAACATGCAAAAAATTCATTTTTTACGAAATTGCGTGCCAGGGACACCTGGTTTAGACTCCTGGATAAATCCCTGGCATTGCAATGATGTACAGTATCTCAGTCGGAATGACAGATGAATGTACGATGAAGATCCAGAGCCCATGATGTTGTCCCTGGGAAGCTAGGAGCCAATATCACTTTTTGAGAGATACATTTTTTGTAGATCCAAACGCTGATGTGCTGCAGTAGTCATATTGCTATTAGTAAATGCTGATGTGATATGATTCTGTGCCAGGATGTGATGTGCAGTGCTGCTTCAGTGGAGGGGTTGCCGAAAGTTCACATTAAAAGTGGGCGGTGGTGTAGCCTGGTGGTCAAAGTGTTCGCTCATCACACCGAAGACCTGGGTTTGATTCCCCACATGTGGACGATGTGTGAACTTATGTCTGTGTTCCCTGCCGTGAAGATGGAATATTGCTGAAGGCGGCGTAAAATCATACTCACTGTCTCAAATTTAGAGCTTACATTACACATGTTACAGATACTCAAAGTAACTCATATGTCATTTGTTGGGCTTCTCTCTTGTTTTGTGCATAGTTCTGAGTGGAAATAACATAGTTACTTCATTCAAAACTGGGATTTTTTTAAATTTCTTATTTTATTTAAGGTAGGCCCATTTTAACATCATATTTTTAGATTGCATTCAATGCAATAATATATAACAGCATCACAACCTTCCTATTTAGTCCTCCTCTTATCATTGAAATACAGGCTATTTCTGCAAAACCTAAATATGAGCTTTTTGTTATTAACATAAATTGGGAAACATTTAATGCCCTTTAGGGAATTTTTAATGACATTTGCTGCAGACTTGGGGCCGAATATCAGCCTCTGAGCAAGACTAGATAAACCTTTGACTTCTTTCTATCCATCATGTTAAGTTCTTAGTGGTTCTACTGTATTCATGAAATATATAATATAAATATAACCATAAAATGTCATGCCTTCAATTCTATTTAAAGATTATTTCTGAATTTCTGCATTTACTTGGTGCCTAACTATGGGAAAAAAACCTGTCCTGCTTCAGTGCACGGCACCTAGACTAAAATCTAGTCTCTGAAATGAACATATCGTACATAAAAAAACAGTTGTTCAGTTATCATAATAAAAATTTAATAAAAAGGAGCCCAGTGACCCCCCCTTATTCTGATACTGCAGTGATCTAGACTTGCCAAACATTATAGACTTGCATGGGCTGTATTTGATATATATTTGTATCAGGGTCTGTAAGACAGACTACACGGCACCCATAAGTCGGCGACTTACCTCAATACTGATGACTTTACAATACACCCTCTCCCTCAATGACACCATCTCTGACGGATCTTCCACCCTGGCTCTCGACATCTGAGACTTATGGACAAGGCCTTCCAGTACAACAGAAGGAGTGTTTGAGTGAGGACATCACTTCTGACATGTTCAACGCAGGGATTAAGTTAGATGCAATCTGGGGTGCATTACAAGCTGATATATGAGCATGATGAGTAATTATACATTAATTATTACCCAAGTCATTATATTTAGGCAGCTTTTTTTTGTTTTTCATTTATCAAATCAACCAATGGTAACAGAAGAAAAATTAAGCCACAATCCTAAAACAAACAAAAATAGTAATTTTTTTTATTTGGCCTAGCATTGCATCTTTGATTAATTAAAAAAAACATATAACTACATGAATCATACAAAAATAAAGTAATTACTGACTGCTTGAATAATAATTGATGTAATACATTGTAGCAGTATAAAGCCTCCGGCTGCTGCAAACTTCAAGTCAGAAAACAAAGAATTCTCAGGGGTAAATGCATGTACCGTTTTCCCGGTGAGGTGAGGTGAAATTTGGTTTAACATCACGTCCAAGATTATTACACTTATATAGCGACGTGCATGCACGTGTATGTGTGTGTGTGGCTGCTTGTACTAGTCCCGACTGATGCCTATTCATAGTGCTAGCTCACTGAGATACCATGCCGCAGTTTAACATGAATACCCCACTCAGACACAGTATACTGACTCCGAGCCGACCAGTCCTTGTTTTAGCCCCTTAATGCCGAGCGCCAGACAGGGTAACAACAAGTACCATCTTTTAACGTCTTTTTGTATGACGCGGCCCGGGATCGAACTCCGGACCTTCCGCTCTCCGGGCGGACGCTCTACCACAAGACCACGGAGGCGGTCTCCGTTTTCCCGGTAGTGAGGTATTGTTAAACAAACATCCTTCAGTGTACCCAGGACATTTAACTGTTCCCACAAAATGTGTTTGAATCCAAAATTTACTAAGATACTGATCGTTTGTTTAAATTATCAGAAGCGTACTCATGCACATGGATTTCACAGTCATGTCATCCTAATGTCATTGTCCTAACGCTAAAAGCCTCAGGAGACACTAAATCCAATTACTATGGAGCGGGGCGGTCGGGTAGCCTAGTGGTTAAAGCGTTCGCTCGTCACGCCGAAGACCTGGGTTCGATTCCAGACATGGGTACAATGTGTGAAGCCCATTTCTGGTGTCCCCGACGTGATATTGCTGGAATATTGCTAAAAGCGGCGTAAAAGCATACTCACTCACTCACTCACTACTATGGAGCAAACTTCCAGAATGCCTTTAGTTCCTTATACTGCTGTACAAGTACCGTATTCCACGTAATAAGCGCCCCCAGCTATATTTGCTTATACATTAGCTAGTGAACAATCCCAATTAGCATGCCTTTCAATTGATCAATGTACACTTATTTATTCGTGTATAATACGCACTTGTGTGTTATATGTACCCTTAATTATGGGCAAATAAATTTTGGAAAATACATCTGTCGTGTATAATACGCACAGACTTTTCTTTTGTATCATTTCAGGCTGTCAGCATAAACCACGAAATTTACGATCTTTTAACTCTGTTTTCTTTCTCACCAAAATCATATACTAATACGAGCCCCCTATTTCTAATATTGAGAACGCCCTGGGTGCTTATTACGTGGAATATGGTATGTTATCCGTCACCTTGTTTTCGACATCCTGGTATTTTCACAAAGGCTCCATAGTTCTGTACTGATGCAATCTGGAAAACACAAGTTACCGATTTGATGGTCAGTTAGGAGATAAACATACTGTGTTTTCAATGCAGAGTAAGGTTACCTGAGGCTTAAAGGGGCACTGATCTAACGCAATTCCCCGGGACTGGTTGTTGCCTTTGTTATTGTTTTTTCCCAGTGAGTACCCGGATGTATAGCAGAAATCTAGACTAGTTCGCGACCTCTGCTGCGCCATTCGTAAGCGCATTAGTCACTTGTATGGGTAGTAATGTGGAGGGCGTATGGTCACATTGATCAACAAAATGAAATACAGTTTTGGAAATAATAAGGAAATGTAGGTATCTTTGTGGGTAGCATCGGTAATGGTGACGAAGTTTTGATAAGTCACTTGCTTGGTAATTTTGCGATTTTCGTTTACACTATTTTGACTTGCAACACAAAGTAAATATTTCACCTGAGCATTGCTTTTTGATAGTGTGTATATTTTTTACTGTCAAAATGTGTAACATTTTCAAATTTATTCAGCGCCTAAATATTCAGTTATTTAACAAAGTGACTGAAAAACATTTCCATCTGTATTATTATGATAACAAATTCCAAACATTTTGATGTTTAATGTCATCACCAAGAGACTGAAAATGTTACGTTGAAAAGTACATTTCTATGTTGTTTGGCTTCTAATCCTACATAATAATCTGTTGTGATGTTTGTAGGCCCTTTTGATCGCCTTAATCAATCTGGACAGATTTTTTAGTCAAAATGACTGAAATATTTACACATTTTATAAATTGCCTGAGAGAATTACATTTTACAAATTGACGGTTATATATACACGCTTACAAGGGAAAAGGCCTGTGAAAACAACGTATATCGCGCATTGAAGAATTTCCCAACCAAGACGTAGAGAAACAAGGACGAATCGGTTCAATGCTACAGCAAATGAAGGAAAACAAAATGCAAATACCATAATTACAACCTACCAAATTTATGTGTATAAATTTTAGGCAGCTTCATTGTTCGAGGAATGTATCCGTGAATATCCACACAAAGGAACAATATCCCATTCGTCTGCAGCTGTACAAAGAAACCTATTCGATGTCACGTGTCTCTGTAACAATCACATATTTTAAAGATATATATCGTTTTGGGATATTATAACCCGTGTTCGTTTCTCAACTGATCACTTGGATTGTTTCAGGTGTTTCACATAGGTGTCAAGTCTCAAGGGTCAGCTGAGAAAGCCCACGTGACAACTATTTTCATAACGTCCACGGTTCCTAAAAAATCCATTGAGTGATAGATAACAATGATCAATCAATCAACGTATTACCAGTTCACCCTTTGAACAAAGTATGTTGTTTTTACATCGGCACTTCACGCAAGGATATGTGTGTATTCCCTTTGTTTTAGTAAACCTAGACATGTAAACACTCACTTTTGACATATCCACTGTGCAAGATAACAGTGATTAATCAATCAACGAATTTTCTGTTAATCCTTTGATGACTAGGAACGATCCGTTGATTTACAAAAAAAAGTAAATCAACTGATCATTCACCTCTTGCTGGTCTGCCACGACAAATACACAAGTGTAGGGTTATGCGAGAAAACGTGGATGACAACAAGGCAGTAGTAATCGTATTATCGACGCAATCCGAAAACCGAAAATGCTTTCACTGCATGGATACTTCTTTTAGTGTTGACTATAACCATCTGGGGTATTTCCAAATGACGACATTCGATGAGCTCCGCTGTTCTTTTTGTCTGTTAGTTTAGGCTAAAGAAATTAATTAACATGCTCCCTTTGTCGAAATCTTTTTAGATCACGGTTAACAAATCAGTGTTTATGCAAAAATGCGTAAAACAAATATTGCCTCCAGCCTCCAAGTTTATTTAGCTGTCCTTGCAGACGGTAGCCCAGTCTCTGGTCATGCTCAGTTGCGTTGCGTATCATCCGGGTACTCACGGGGGAAAATACAATAACAAAGGCAACAACCAGTCCGGGGAATTGCGTTAGGTCAGTGCCCCTTTAAATTAACAGAATTAGAAAATTAACATTGCGAACAGAAATTAGCCAATAAACAAGACGCACTCCGGTGCTCATTACAAACTAAACAAGTATCCCAAGTCATTCTAATTAGGTAGGGACCATATACCGTCTTTAAATTAGGCAACACTTCTTTTTCTGTTTATTAAATTGACCGATCAGAGCAAAAAGCAATAATCAGAAAATAAAATGCAAATAGTATCTAATTACAAATTCAAGTTATCGTGGTTAAATCTAAGTAGGTCGACCGTTCTGAACAATAGCCGATAACCCCAAATGGAATTCATTGTGTTTCTTCTGTGTCACTAGCGATTGTGGTATGTTCGACATTTAATTTATTTCTTGCGGGTTTTGGAGTCTACACTGTAAACAAACTGGTGAACCGGATTGATTTAAGAATGCAACCTCTCCATGAAATATGCTGTAGAGAGCTGGGACGTCCCCGCCATCGTCGTCCCTATGTCGCTTGTACTGATGATCACGTTCATCGTCATGGTCATGGCCACGTTTAGCCATATCGTCCACTAGTTTTCTACACGTGAACAACTATAAACAAAAAATCCACCATGTTGGCTATTTATCAAGGGACATAACTCCGGACATTGCTTTTGGATTATCGATAAGGAAATGGTGGGTTACTCGCTTTTATTTCTTAAAAAAAAACCAGCAGGTGCCCGTTTGAAAGCTCCTTGCAGCAAAAAGCGTCCAATTTTGTGCCAAACATAGAGCGTCACAACATTGCACTGAGTTTAATCCGTGAAAACGGATCTTGCGAACGCTTTAACCACTAGCCCCTGGTTGAGGAGGAGGTGAGGTGAAATGGGGTTTAACGTCGCGTCCAAGATTATTGCACTTATACAGCGACGTGCATGTACGTGTGTGTGTTTGTGTGGCTGCTTGTACTAGTCCGGACTGATGCCGATTTATAGTGCTAGCTCACTGAGATACCATGCCGCAGTTGAACATGAATACCCCACTCAGACACAGTATACTGACTCCGAGCCGACCAGTCCTTGTTTTAGCCCCTTAATGCCGAGCGCCAGACAGGGTAACAACAAGTACCAGCTTTTAACGTCTTTTGGTATGACGCGGCCGGGGATCGAACCCCGGACCTTCCGCTCTCCGGGCGGACGCTCTACCACTAGACCACGGAGGCGGTCGGTTGAGGAGGAGGAAACAGGCAGTGCTAGAAAAATGAATATTATTACCACTATTTTATTTTATCATAAATCATGTTGTTGTTTTGGTTTTTCTTGGGTTTTTTGGCTTGACACTACACTCAGCCACAATCTGTAAATAATTGAGTCTGGGAAGGGACAATCCATTGATTGACATCATGAGCATCGATCTATGCAATTGGGATACGATGACATGTATCAACCAGGTCAGCGCGACTGACCACCTGATTCCGTTAATCGCCTCTTACGACAAGCACAGTCGCCTCTTACGACAGACAGGGCGGTCGGGTAGCCTAGAGGTTAAAGTGTTCGCTCGTCACGCTGAAGACCCGGGTTCGATTCCTGACATGGGTACAATATGTGAAGCCCATTTCTGGTGTCCCCCGCCGCTATATCACCGCTATATCGACAAACAAGTTTGCTAAAGATCAATTCCAACCCGGATCTTCTATTTGCTAATTTAATACTTTTAAAATCATGTTGGCTCATAAGAGGTGAATATTTTACAAGTTTGCACACCATCATATGTATCTTCTTACAGATTAAGACCACATCTCATTAATCTTCGTGATTTAGAAAGTGCAGCAACTCTTTCACGAAATGTATTTTTTCTTTGGATCTTTTCCCACAAAAGACCCAAAAGAGGTGATGGAGAGAACAGTTTTGTAGAGTGGGATAAAATGTGGTTTAATGTCGCGTTAAAGATGTTTGTACTTAAATAGCGACGTGTGTGTGCGCGTGACCAGTCCTCGTTTAAGCCCCTTTATGCCGAGTGTCAGACAGGGTCATTCGTCACCACTCGCCCCTTTCCGTAACCTGCAAGCTATTCGGCCATTCGTGACCAACTCGTGTTATTCCGGGACAAGCCGAATAGCGAGGTTACGGAAAGAGGCGAGTGGGGACGAATGGCTATTCGGCTTGTACCGGAATAACACGAGTTGGTCACGAATGAGACAGGGTAATAAGTGCCATCTTTTAATGTATTTTGGTATGACACAACCGGTAATCAAACCATCGACCTTCCGCTGTCCGGACGGACGCTCTTTCGCATCGACCACGGAGTCTGTCCTGACAATAGTTTAAATTTTTTAAAAACATTTAAGTGTTCGTCAGGACTGTTTTTTTTGTTGTTTAATGCTACACTCAGCCACATTCCATCAGTATGATGACTGCCTGTTTATAATCAAGGCTGAACCTGACAAACCAGTGATTGGCTTTGTAAGCAACGATCCGCCGAGTACGATGATGACACGCAATCTACCATGTCACAAGCCTGACAACTCGATTCATGAAGTCCCCTCATGCATCAAGCATTAGACTAACATTTAGTCTCTGAAATCTTATATTACACAATATCCTTCTTGACTCTAAAAATAATCAATATTTCCCTATTCTGATTTCAGAATAGAGCTAGCTTGAGCTGGCTAGACTTGCTTTTGTATGCGTTTCTAGATTATTATTTTTCATAAAATAAATATATTCCACGGTCATGGTGCAGGACTTATCAAGCATAGGTTGCTGGGGACCAATACCAACCTGGAATACCACATTGTTAAACAGTAATCCTGGAGGGGTTTCCCGGCAGTGTTTGAAATCAGAGGTGAGGTGAAATGGGGTTTAACGTCGCGTCCAAGATTATTGCACTTATATAGCGACGTGCATGTACGTGTGTGTGTTTGTGTGGCTGCTTGTACTAGTCCGGACTGATGCCGATTTATAGTGCTAGCTCACTGAGATACCATGCCGCAGTTTAACACGAATACCCCACTCAGACACAGTATACTGACTCCGAGCCGACCAGTCCTTGTTTTAGCCCCTTCATGCCGAGCGCCAGACAGGGTAACAACAAGTACCAGCTTTTAACGTCTTTTGGTATGACGCGGCCGGGGATCGAACCCTGGACCTTCCGCTCTCCGGGCGGACGCTCTACCACTAGACCACGGAGGCGGTCGTTTGAAATCAGAAGAAATGCCAGGCTGCCATCAGGACCTAGAACGTGGGGCCTTGACTAAAACCTTCAGGACTTCATTTGAATAAGAACTGCAGTTTATCGTAACACATGATCGACACGAGATCTACCTGCCACGGACCTACGGGCAGGCGCTTATTTTGAACACTGTTTCATGGACAGATTATGTCCCTTCACAAGAGCAGAATGGTGATGGGATTATGCAAAAATTTTAACATTGTGTGACTTGGCTGACCATTGTTCATACCCTAACTGAATGATTTGTTTCTTATTTAACGCCGCACTCAGCAATATTCCAGCTATATGACGGCGGTCTGTAAATTATCGAGTCTGATCCAGTGATTGACATCGTGAACATCGATCCAGGCAATTGGGATCGATGACATGCATCAACCATGTCAGCGAGCCTGACCACCTAATCCCGTTAGTCGCCTCTTACACAAGCATAGTTGTCTTTTCTGGCAAGCATGGGTTGCTGAAGACCTATTCTACCCCGGATCTTCACGAGTTGGGTTTACGTCGCTTTTAACAATATTCCATTGCCATCACGACCTCATGCTATGATTCAAATTCTACTGTGATGTAGGAAACATTTCTGACTGGGAAGTAAAATGTACAAGACTCGTAAATTCGTGTGTTGGCTACATTTTCTAACCTGGACTCCCATGGATGGCTAAGTCGTCTAAGGCACCACTATCTACTTGTGTCCCTTAGTCGTGCCAGAATTCTATGATCGTGGGTTTGAATCCCGGTTTGCCGGTTTGTTGGCACCATGCCTTTGCTCGTGGGTTCACCAAAGTGATAAAGTCGAAGACTTGCAGTACTTCAGCATTCCTCCCACATCAAGCTATGGCAGTGAGATGTATGTAATACTGTTCAAAACGGCATAACTACCTCACTCACTACTGCTGGCACATTGTTCTTTCTGTTCATAATAGTTGATTCATAACAAAACCCGTGAAGATTCCGGGGTAGAATAGGTCTTCAGCAACCCATGCTTGCCGTAAAAGGTGACTATGCTTGTCGTAAAAGGCGACTAACGGGATCGGGTGGTCAGGCTCGCTGACTTGGTTGATGCATGTCATGATCCCAATTGCGTGGATCGATGCCCATGATATTAATCACTGGATTGTCTGGTCCGGTCCAGACTCAATTATTTACAGACCGCCATCATATAGCTGAAATATTGCTGAGGGCGGCGTTAAAGAACCAACCAACCAATCATAACAAAACAATTATAGTTTTGAACATTTTATTTTGTGTAAAATTTCACATTTCACATACAGTCAGTCATAGGTGACGCTCCTGACACTAACACGGTCACATCCCTTAACACTCAGAAACATTCATAGTATGTACAACAGGATAGGGAAGAGTTGCCTCCCTTGCCATAGATTAGGAAGAAGGAGTTGCCTCCCCTGCCATAGATAAGGAAGAAGAAGTTTTTCCATTGCCAGAGACCAGCTCACAGCAGACTGGGTAGACAACCAGAAGATTAACTTCATGATACATTTAAGTTTTAAAACTTATTGTAAAAATGTTCTTGTGTGTCTTCTTAAAAGAAAAAAACACCAAATGCCTTGCTCTGAGAAGTCCTAGCAAATGTCAATAAGACTAGGATTTTCCGTATTGTGAAAGTATTATTATTGAACTCTAAATTGTCCTGAAGACAGGATTTGTTTTTATTGCTCGTTGATTACCTGTAAATATATTTATGTCACTGCGTTAGGCATATCAACCCTGCTTTCAGACATAATGCTATCAAATTCATGCAAGAGAAATACTGACATTTCATATCATGTCTTTAAAATGGTTTTGAAGAAACCTTGAGCAAGATGGTACTCTTTTCAGAAATCCTCAACCATCCACTTAAACAATATTCAACCTCTAAATGCAAAAGCTGACAATATAATCTGCCAGTACATATTTGAGTTTGTAAAATCTAAATTGAAATATCAAAACAAAATCAGACTGCTACATTTCTGCTTTTCTTGAGACAAATTCTATTGCTTTAGGTTTCATCATAGTTTTGTCAGTGTTTTATGAATCATTTGCAGAATTATTGAGCTTCACAATAAATAAACCAGTCGTTATCTGCACCTGAAAATCAGAGTTTTAAAGACATACCATATTTGTGGTGTGTTTACAAAATTGACAAAAGGGGAAACATTTATATCCATAAACAAAAAGTTAATTTGGTTTCGGAGATTGAGCAGTAGTGAAAACTCTTGTTCCAACATCAATAAAACTCAAACATTTCTTATAAAAGTTACGAGGCAAATTTATACTCCCACCCTGCTCTGTTTTCTGTAATATATCTGTAAAATACAGACACAAAATATGTCATGTAAATTTTCAACCTTAGAACGGGATGCTTACAGATTGATGCTGAAGTTGGTAAGGCTGGATCAGGGAGCATAATATGTTGAATAGAGTCCTGCAAATCGCTGCATATTTAATTAACCCGATTTCATGGGCTGAAACGCTTACTTTTTTTTGACTATTTATGTGTAGATATACTGGGGGAAAAAAGTCTGACAACAGTTCATAGCATAACAGTGAAAGTACAAAATATCGTTTTTTAGTTATTGCACATCAGCACTCTGCATCCCTCCTCCTGACTCAAAGTACAGATAATGAAACATTTCGATGGTCTCTTGGACTTTGAGGTTTCTCTGTAAACTGCATTGAACATGCGGAAGGAAGATCGGTATATTTGTTTTATTAAAAAATGTGATGCATCCTGATATAAAATAAATCCGAACATGAGAAATAGCAAACTGAAGACACTCTTGCACGCTGACAAATTTGTAATATCTGAGGATGAAGCTGAGGATGAAATGCACAACAGTTTGTAGCAGCTTAGGAAGCAGATGTGTTATGCTGACCATGACACCTCAGATATGAGGGCTTCTTCAATCATCCCCAATATGGAGATGGACATCCTGTGAACAGTTTTTCTGAAACCCTTTTCTCATTATAACATCTGCTGAATGACATAAAAAAATTCTTTTTCTTGTGAATTGCGGAAAACTACCTAACCTATTTCTATGGTAATCCAGTATTTACACTTACAAAGACTTCATAATAGCACTAATTATTGCTTACAGGCGTAACCTGTACGTCATTTGGATATTTACATTAACTACTCATACCTTTTCAGGAATATTATTTTATTCTATTTTACAACTTCTGACTGAAATTAATAACTTGTATATATGTACTTATATATATGTATATATGATAAACATGTATTATTTAATAATACCATGCATTCAGTGAAGCCATGCATTAATGCATTTACAGTCCAACCACCTCACCTCACCTAACCTCACCTCACCTTCAACATGGAGAGTATATCAGATCTTTCTGTAGAGTTATCATTATTAGATTAAAAGATACAATTTTACTGTGTGAGGAGGTTGTTGTTTTTCACTTGAGTTTTGAGGCTAAACAACATCATACGAATCTTATAAACCACCCAAACTGTGTTCTTGAGAAAACTGGTACCATGATCCAACAAACAAATAACCAATTGCTGGTGGTGATTGGTTACTGGCGATGCTCAATCATTTCGATTATCTCAATCATCTCAATCATCTCAATCATCTCGATTATCAGACTTGCAGTGATGAGATTCGACCGACTCTAAACACACCGAGATGATGACAATTAAATGATGCTGGTCTTGTTACAATGTTTTGCATGAACGTAAAAGTGACGAAGATGGTGTGTAACAACATCCTGGTTATGATACACGATAGGAAACGGTATAAAATAACAATGATGAACTTTGTACATTTCAATGACAGGTGCCTGTCAAAGTGATGCGAACACATATATTGCAATCGTAGCTACTATACAAAACGTTGCTGTAAATGCAATTGCTCTGAAAAATAATGGAAAAACACCTGAATGGGATACTTGCATGATTTCTGAGCAAACAATAACTGTAGCTTCAATGCTAGCTGACCAGGAATAAATTGCATAAACAAAATATACAGGGAAATGTGAAATATACGACCCAAGGTGACAGGAGGGTGACAACGAAAACGAAAGATGATGGTTTGACTATCTGCAGTCACGATCTAATAAGTAACATTTGTTTACTTTTTAATTACAAACTGATGTTTTTGTTTATTTGGAAAATCTGACATTCAAAAAACATCTGTCATTAAAGTTGGATCACCCTTTCCTACACTCAATAACAGGACCACAAGATTCTTTCATATCACTATATTTATATGAAAGAATCAGAGTTCCTTAAGTTTTTTTGAGTAGTATATAATAAAGCACTACCATAGCACACAGCATGTGATGTTAGGCATCTAGGAATGAAAAAAGGCCTCTTATGAGTGAACAGAACTGACATGGCAATTGACGATGTCTATGTACAATTTTACAATGACTGACGCACATTCACAAGTAGAAATATTTGCAATATACATTCGTAAATACATATACATTCTCACATTTCTTGTACACTGGGAGGGGAGATCTTTTTTACGTCTTAAAGTTAATTAAAAACATAAATAAAACATTGACTACAACAATCATAAGACGAAACGTTCATATATAAAAAAATCAACATAACAAATAAGTTTTAATACTGTAGGTTGAATCCATATCAATGTTTTGCAAAACATTGAAAGTGTGAATTTAGTAAGCTACTAATTTAGTTCTACCAATAACATCAACAATGATATTTTTTTTAAATTCCATAAGAAAACAAATTGAACAAAAGCATGTTTTATTCAATGAAAACATTCACAATTTAGAACTTTAAATATAAATTTTATTTTATCATAAACTGTTACTTATTATTTGCAATGTTATTCCTTAACAGACTAACCTTTGTTCAAAATACTTTCCTTCAAAACAAAACAAAATCAAGGATTTTCGTTCAACACTTGTCATTTAACCATACACGAGTAAAGTCAAAGTCCATCAAAACTGATCCTACCATCCATTCAACAGTTAATTCCTTCCGTCTAAAACCAGTTGTTTCACACAAACCACTATTCTTGTATAATTTGATTTGACAAAAAACACTGTCCGAATTGACACACCATGATTCCACAAAGTCACATGTCCACCATTCACATTCTTTCAGAATTCAACCAATGCCCTCTCGGGAGTAGAAAAGCTCACCTGTTAACACACACATCTAGCATTAGAATAAAGGGATGAACATTTCTATTGCAATCTATCATGAATATATCACAATCAAATATATATATATGTATATATAAAGTACTCAGAATTTGCTTGTTCATAAAATACTCCTTCTTGTCCTGTTTATTCAAATGTGGTTTTATTATCAGGTGAAAAAATGTGAACTTTAAAAAAACAAAAAAACAATTGTCCAGATATTCACAACACGATTTTAAAACAACTCATAACACTTACTTGTCAATTTCATTAAAAAAAAGGTTCTGCAGCTCACCTGATTCTTTTCCCCGAATATTTTGGTAGATCAGATGTAAGCTAGTTTGGTTTAACACCAATTTGAATTGCATTAGATCAGAAATGTCTAACAGAGTAGTAGTAATAATAATAATAATAATAATAATAATAATAATAATTATAATAATGACCATTTATAATGTGCCAAATTTCACCAAGTGAATGCTCGGGGCGCGACATTATTACCCAAGACAATGGATTAGTGACCACTGAATTTTCATCTCAGCTTCCTGGGGAGTATACATCTCCAGCTGACTGTGACGGTAAAGAATTCACAAATGTTTCTGCACACAAGATTTCCTCACAGCATTGCATGTTTATTATTCCATGTTGATGCTTGTATATCCGGCCATGTAGAGGGCCAAACTTCATGTTCATCATGACTGTCATGGCGCCTTTGGAAGCCACAGTGGTAGACCATCAAAGGTTAAACAAACCTGTGTCAAATATCCCATTACACAGAAAGTATCAAATGTGCTTTTAGTTGGTACTTGCTGCAGATGACATATCAACATGATGCATGCATTAATGGCCGAGTAAAGGGAAAAATGGACTTTTCAATATGGCTGCCATGGCAGCCATGTTGAAAAAGAGATCAGGAAATTTAGGAACACCATTGCTGGCATCATTGCAACAAAATTTCAGCTTCATAGAACTTGTAGTTTCAGTGAGTGAGTATGTTTTTTCGCCGCTTTTAACAAAATTCAAGCAATAACACAGTGGGGACACCTGAGTGTGGTTTCAGAGGATATCTTGAAACTGCAATAAATCTTAAAAAACTTGGGTCAAATGTCGTAGCTGGATAAAACAAAAAAAATCAAAATATGCTATAGAGCATATTTTATATCATTACACAGATCACACAGTTACTGTATATAGAATTTCAGAATGATATATGCTGAGTAATAGGCATAAATGACATATTCAATATGGATGCCATGGTGGCCATGTTTAAAATTGTATTTATGTTCTGTGAGGCAACATGAGGTCTCAGCTTCTTCGGCCTTGTGGTTTCAGAGATGTTAAATGAGTGAGTGAGTGAGTGAGTACGGTTTTACGCCGCTTTTATCAGTATTCCAGCAATATCACGGCGGGGGACACCGGAAAATGGGCTTCACACATTGTACCCATGTGGGGAATCGAACCCGGGTCTTCGGCGTGACGAGTCAACGCTTCAAACACCAGGCTACCCCACCGCCCCCGGAAAAGTTGAAGCTCTAAACATTAATAACAGGCAGACCGATGAACGGACCATGCTCCACAACATGAGGTCACTTGACTTTCAGTCAGATGAGCTAAAAATTCAACTTGACCATTAATAAAAACAAATTCTGAATAAATCATAACTGACATTCCACAATGACACAATTGAAGTAATAAATTCATTTAGGTATATGGCACATTCAAAAGGTCATCCTCAAATAAAAAAACAACTGAAATTTGATGTTTTGTTTTTGAAAAAGCGCTTTTGAATTATTTGAAATCAAATGCAACTAAATTGTCCATCATAAAATGTGCTGACAATATCATATTGCCTCATTCATAACTTGATATAACATGAGGTTGTTTGTGTATCGTTGCTAAAAAGTAAAAACAGAAGACGACATTTGAGCCATAAAGGCCGAAGGTTAATAAACAGAAAACGAAAACATTTATAAAAAAACGTCCTCAGTGTAGTAAAAACTCCCAGGGAGTCTTCTGGATGACACAAAACTTCACATTTTGGGCAAATCTTATTTTTCTAAAACTCCCGACAAGTCTGTGATCTAGTTTGAGCTGAATCATTGAATCATTCACACGACGACTGGAATTCAGTAGTGTGAATCTGATCATCAACTGTCTGTGAATGTTCACGACTTCGAAAGTGGCTCGTGAGGGTCATTTGCAAATAAAAATCACTGGCGCGGCATACATGTAAAATCTCGAATCCCGGCACCACATGTGTCTTGGAACAGCAGATTTAGTTTTAGTGCTTTTCACACAGCCTTCATTCCATGCTTTGGACATAATGATGAGTTGTTCAGAAAGCAACATGCCTCAACATCTTGAGGTTACTCAAGGTCAAGTATTCTATTTGTCTGACACTGACCAGTTTTTTCTTCAAACATTTGAATTGGCACAGAAGTCAAGCAAGTCTCTGACCACCCTTTGTTTTCAAACCAAACAGTACTGTCATAGCAACACATATTTCTGTATCTTCTTTGAGAGAATCTGTGGCACGTTCTGAAAAACGGTTTCCCCAATTCTAACTGATTTCCTCATAAGTACTTTAAATACCTTTTTATTTCAAAACTTGCAGACTTTAGCCGCTGAAATACAATATCTTTATTCACTGTAAAAGGGTTGAGAATCAAAATAAATTTTTAGAATTGTTGAAAGCTATGTCACTTTGGGAAAAATCTATACATTATTCTGTTCTTCTCTTGCAACTAATGTCCTTCTGCAAAAGACCTGTCTTTTTCATCTGGATCTAGTAATGTTATACTCCTTGAACATGTAATACATCATAATTTCTGGAAACAACCAGCAGTCATGACTTCCTCCTCCGACACTTGTCATGTTATTCCTCTGAAACTGGCAATATCCTATTCTCCTGAAACAAGTTGTGAGTTATTCCTCTGAAACTGGCAATATCCTATTCTCCTGAAACAAGTCACGGATTATTTTTTTAAAAACTGGCCACATACTATTCTCCTGAATCAAGTCGTGTGTTATTCCTCTGAAACTGGCCTCCCTAGATCACAGTGTGCATCAAGCACAAACAGCACCAAACAGAGTCACAATTATTTCTTGTTCATCAAGCAAGAGTTCCAGGCCATGACACGACTGTGAGCGTCACAGCGCCATCTATCAGCTTGAGGATTTCAACGGCCTTGGCATGTTGTATATTCTGTAAGCTGTGTTCGTTGACACTCATGATCATATCACCACATCTGAAAACACAAATTATGTAAATTCCATAAGCTCAAAAAGACTGGAATACTTCATTCGGACTTGGGCCATAACAAACTAGAGGTATTTGCATTAACCTGCGAAAACAGAAGCAGCGCCATAATCACAATTTTCTCTAAGCTTAAAGTTTTTTACCACCCTACTTCCAGTTCAAAAACTACTACGTAGCCTTGACCTGATCAAGACAACTTCTGAAGATCCAACAATTACTCAAGTCTCATCAGCGTACAAAAGAGCAACCATGTTTCACAGAAACCATAAATAGGATCTTGTTTCTAAAGGATAAATCCACTTATCATCCAAAACCAGCCTCCAAAGGAGATATCGTTTGGGTCAGATCAAGCGATCTCCAAAAGGAGATATCACTGCAAATGAAATTGCATCACAAAGCTTTGCAAACCATTGTGATGTCATCAGTTACCAATCAGACGACATCACAATCAAATAACATTTCCAAACCCACAAGCTTGGGTATGGTGCTGATAAACCAGGAAACCTAACCAAGGTGATTCTAGGATTCAAACTCATAACTGATAAATACAACATAAAGAGTTGCAGCATCAAAGATCACTGGTCCACACATGCCCCAAGAGATATATAGAATTTAATCATATTTCTTTATAAACACAAGTAGGATCTTACTTTAACCTCCCATCCTTGGCTGCAGAGGTCTCAGGGACGATTGACTTGACAAAGATGGGCATCTGTCCGTGGCTGCTGTCACAGCCACCCACGATGGAGAAACCCAGGCTCCCTGACGGACTGCGCAATAACGTAATCGTCTTGAGCAGCTGGCACGCTCTGGAAAATGAGGAGTTCATGTCACATTGGCATCAATTTGTTGTTGTTTAACAGCGCACTCTACAATATTTGAGTTACATGATGGCGGTCTATAAATAATAGAGTCTGGACTAGACAATCCAGTGATTGATATGATGGACAAGAGTCCACACTGTCAACATATTATGACAACCAATCAACCAAGTCAGAGTCTGACCACCCAATTTATTAAGCTGGCTGGTAGGACCTCCATTGGTAACTGGATATGAATTCTAACCTGTAACACCCACAAGCTTGGATGCCGGTCGAAACCCGGAATCTCTGCGGGACACGGCATCATGGAACAGTGAGTGAGTGAGTGAGTTTGATTTTACGCCGTTGTTAGCAATATTCCAGCAATATCACAGCGGGGACACCAGAAATGGGCTTCACACATTGTACCCATGTCGGGAATCGAACCCGGGTCTTCGGTGTGACGAGTGAACGCTTTAACCACTAGGCTACCCGACAGCCCCTCATGGAACAGTCAGCAATATAACGCAGATCCATGGGATATAGTCTTGATTAAAGAGAGCAACATCAATGTTCTGCAGGGGCTGCGGCCTCGCAGTATTCCCACAAAAAAAATTTATTGGCACATAATATTTATGCTTTATAATTAATTCAATGACAAAGCTAAATTATTATTTTGGAACGAGTACCTTGAAGACACATGCTAACAGTAATCACAAACAAGCTGTTGAGACGAAATATATAACATATATGCAGCAATACATAACGTTACATCTGAGGAAGAAGCCATGGGAAACATGCTATGCATTGTTAACGTTACCTGAGGATTGGGATTCTTCATCAATAACCTGCATATCGGATTTTAAGGGGATTTTTCATGATCTCGAAGAGTGTGGCCACATGTGTTTTGAAAATGACCCAATGTTTTCACCTCATACCCAGTTAATGTGCCTGTTACCAGTTTTGTCCTGTTTATTTGTTGTTTAACGCCACACTAAGCAATATTCTATCTATATGATGGCGTCCTAAATGAGTCTGGACCAGACAATCCAGTGATTGACACTGTGATCAACAATCCATGCTGTCTGGGGTAAGATGACATGCCATCAAGTCGGTCACTGAACCTAAGCACCAGGGCCCTGTACCTCAAAGCGCTGAGACAATCGTACTCCCATACTTTAACACTGACTTATGACGATCGTAGCGCTTAAGTCACTTTGTAGAACGGGGCCCTGATCCATTTGCTAGCCTATTATCCCGTTGGGACAGTCTTGTCCAGATACTAGGGTCCTACCTAGGAAGCCGGAGCCAGAACAACCAGTTGGGGACGAAGTTGTGTGTCCCCTCCTCCGCATCCTCCGGCCCCTCGATCACTTTCATCATCAGCAGCTTGGTCTCGGACTGGACCTTGAGCTGTTTGACCGCCTCGCTGTGGGTCAGCCCCAGCAGGTTGATGCCGCCGATAGACAGGAGCAGGTCACCTTTCTGGGGACACAACACACGACACACTCAAATCTCCCTACAAAATCTCAAAGTGATCCTGTAGATTTTAGGGCATAAGGATTCATATGGCCTAAATTTTGTTCTGTTTGTTGTTTAACACCTCACTCAGCAATATTACAGCAAGCATGGGTTGTTGAAGACCTATTCTATCCAGGATCTTCCTGGTAAACTTGGGCCTAAAGCCACAATCACAAAATGGAATAAACACAACATACTGCACCTTATACAGAACTAGCATGAACCAAAGTGTGTTGGTCAACTGAAACAATTAGTTAGATTCCTGTTTTCCTTTAAACTCATACTACCGTATTTCCTCTACGCCGGGCCTCTAATAAACACTGAGTCAATCAATTGATTGAGATATATCTATGGATATCTACGAACACAAAATATTTCCATTTCGTGACAATTCGGGACATCCGTTTTCCTTTAAACTCATACTACCGTATTTCCTCTATTAGAAGCTGGGCCTCAAATTGACACCGGGTCAAAGGCTTGTCCGAAATATATAGAAGCCCTGCGACTAATAGAGGAAATACGGTAATCATGTTTTAGTTTTTTAGCAACTTGCTCATGTTGGTCGGGCTGTTTCTATGATATATTAAATATGTGAAACAGTTTGCATAAATATGCAGGGATGGTCAGAAAAGCATGGTCATCTGTGACCTGTCAAGTTAAGAGTTAACAAGTAACCTTATTACAAAGAGACAATTTATCAGTTTCACACAGAATGGTAATTTGTGGAAATAGGCAACAGATAGTGAAGTCTTTTAAAGTTTTGTAGTATGTAGTCCACAAGTCGACTGATTGACTGATATATTCAGCTCTAAATCCACAGACAGCTTATTTGGTGTTCTGGTGATAATGGTCGAGACTGAAGCTGGTTCTGACCTTGAGCTGCCGACTGCGTCCCAGGCATCCCTTGTGATTGATGTTTGTAACGTAGACTGGCGTGTCGCCACGGAAACTGGACAAACCACCCGCTACACTCACGCCAAGGCTCTCAGAGGGGTCCTGTCAATAACAACATTATCATCATCAACATCATCACGATCACCAGTCATCATCATCATCGTCATCGTCGTCGTCGTCATCATCCAGTGTTAGAATTAAAAGAGACCAGGTGTTTGGATCTTTATGTCTTTGGCTTTAAAAGTATTTGAATCCAGGAACCCCCTATATCTTTGACATTTAACTTAAGGGCAATGAAAGGACTTCCAGATTTCATGCTTAATTTCCAATGCTGTCATCTGTCCAATAATACTGATACCAGTGTTTGCTGTACTATCTGACGTACTGCGGTAAGCTTTAGTTGTTCGTTGTTGCCACTTTCAACAATATGAAGGCGACCTGTAAGTATCTGAGTCTGGACCAGACAAAAACCAGAGTGAAAGGGTCTCTAATACATGGTCCCTACAATAATGCATGCTGGATATCTAATACATGCTGGGTCTTGTAAATGTGTAAATGATTGATACCCATTCAGTTACCATACAATGAATAGTCCCGGAAATTCTGTCAAAAAAAAAGGCAAAATGTCCATGGAGATGCTGGGTCTCCAATAAAGGAGGAGGCAAAACTATGTCCTAGACATAATACCTACATCTCTTTATATCAGAGTAAACATGGTATATCCTAGTATAGCTGCCAACTTTCCCCAAGAACAGTCAGCATTTGGTTAAGATTGTCTGGTTGGGACACCAAAGCCTGACAATATTTTATCAGTTAGTTGTACTTTCACATACCAGTCGATAACCATGACACGGTCATAGCAGACGGTAGAAGTCTAAATAATGACCTTCTTTACCATGTTACCATAAACAGACTTCATACCAGTCAATAAACATGACACTGTCATAGCAGACGGTGTAGGTCTAAATAATGACCCTCTTTACCATGTTACAAATATAGTCTTCATACCAGTCAATAAACATGACATGGTCATAGCAGACGGTGTAGGTCTAAATAATGACCCTCTTTACCATGTTACCATAAATAGTCTTTATACCAGTCGATAAACATGACACGATCATAGCAGACGGTGTAGGTCTAAATAATGACCTTCTTTACCATGTTACCATAAATAGTCTTCATACCAGTCAATAAACATGACACGGTCATAGCAGACGGTGGAAGTCGAAATAATGACCTTCTTTACCATGTTACCATAAACAGACTTCATACCAGTCGATAAACATGACACTGTCATAGCAGACGGTGTAGGTCTAAATAATGCCCCTCCTTACCAGCATCCATGGCAACATAATGTTTGTGATTTTTTCGTTGTTTGACATATTATGGTATGAAGTAATGACGTAGTCGTATTTTCGACTGACCTTGGCAAGGCTGATCATGCGTTCCTTGCACTGGGCCTTCATGGGGTTCTCCATGCTATCACAGTCGAAGGTAGCACCACACTTGGCAGTGTCGCTTGAGGTAGATCGGATCAGATCCGGAGTCTGTGGACGACTCTTCCGAGACACCACAAACTGCACTCTATCTTGACTAGTCTGAAACACAATGACCGTCACATGAACACAACAACCTCCACATGAACACAATGACCGTCACATGAACACAACAACCTCCACATGAACACAATGACCTCCACATGAACACAATGACCTCCACATGAGGTGAGGTGAGGTGAGGTGAAATTGGGTTTAACATTGCGTCCAAGATTATTGCACTTATATAGCGACTTGCATGCACATGTGTGTGTTTGTGTGGCTGCTTGTACTAGTTCGGACTCATGCCGATTTATAGTGCTAGCCCACTGAGATACCATGCCGCAGTTTAATATGAATACCCCACACAGTGTAGTGACTCCGAGCTGACCAGTCCACGTTTTGGCCCCTTAATGCCGAGTGCAAGACAGGGTAACAACAAGTACCATCTTTTAACGTGTTTTGGTATGACGCAGCCGGAGATCGAACCCCGGACCTTCCGCTCTCCGGGCGGACGCTCGACCACTAGACCACGGAGGCGGTCACCTCCACATGAACACAACGACCTCAACATCCATGAACTACTGACATTTTACAGTCTCATTAAAATCCGATATTAAGCTTACCCATGCATAGATTCACAATTCTTTCCTGTTTCAATTCTCAAATAGAAATATTTACTAAATTTTGCAATAACCCAGTCTGAAAACTACTTGACTTGTATTACATGACCACCTATCACAAAAAACTGTCGGATATGATTTTGATTACGTACAAGCCAAAGTCAATCAATCATTCAAATAAAACATAAACTGTTTCCCTGTGAGCACCTCGAGGTAGACAGTCCACATGGAACAAAAGAAGTCATGAAATGACTATAACAATACAATTTAAGTATCAGGACACAAGTTCCGAGAGGTATGTATTGACACGTTAGGGAGGTGTATAATGACTCTGTAGTGGTGAGTTTCCTACTTGTATGAGATGGGCAGCCTGTTCCTGTGTGCCGTATGAGATGTCCTGGCAGTTGATCTCCAGCAGACGGTCATCCGGCTTCAGGCGGCCATCATACGCTGCTGTACTGCCCGGGATCTGCAACAACACGCACACTTTGATTGTTTGTTTGTTTGTTTGTTTGTTGCTTAATGCAGCACTCAGCAAAATTCCAGCTTTTTTAAGGCGGTCTGTAAATAATCGAAACTGGACTGGACAATCCAGTGATTGACATCATGAGCATCAATCCATGCAATTGGAATATGATGACATGCATTTAACGTCAAGAATGGGTAGCGGAAGACCTATTCTGACCCGGATCTTCACGGGTCACAACATGTAGAGTATTTATGTGCTGGTCATTTCTTGAAGACTGCTATACTTATGGATCAACGGGTAGCCCAGTCGTCTAAGGCGCCGTGATTCGCTTGCAGAATTGCGTCCCTTGGCCAGAAACCTATGATTGTGGGTTCGAATCCAGGTTCGCCCCGATTATGTTTCTAGGTTTGTCAGCACCATACCCGTGCTCGTGGGTTTCACCGAAGTGGTAAACGTGTGAGACCTGTATCACTTTGGGCTTTCCTCCCACATTAAGCTGACACGCCATGATATAACTGGAATACTGTTAAAAGCGGCGTTAAACCCTACTCACTCACTTATGGATCACAGACTATCACAATACAGACTGGTCATGTTTTATTGGTTGTTGGTGTGTGTGTCTGTGTGTCCATCACAGTAACTTAATCTTTCCTTCAACTACATCTGAATGAGGGCACCACTTACCAAATTCAGAATGTACACTCCAGGGCCATTCCTGTGAAAATACAAAGATATTTTCATTACTTAACTAGAGAAAGATATGTTTCATATCCTCATGCAAGTCATTGCAAACCATCAGAGTCCTTTATGGCAATTGTTTTTTAGGTCTGACAAAGTTCAATCCATAATACATGGGTCAAAATCTACACCAGGGTAGCCAGGCAATGACACAGAGTATGAGACCATTAAGTAACTCCCAGCTGCACTGATGCTCAAACATTGATCAGTTTTGAACTTTGCTCCATGATAACTTTATTTGTGTACACCTGGTAGGTCATGTATTAAGTTACAATGGTTATGAAGCAAGTGTTTTATGTTCATGTTGAAATCACAGCCATCTCAAACTCTGGGTTACAAAATTACTCCCAACATACCAACTCAGCTCTTTTTCACTTAATTCAGACTCTTTTTCCAGTTAATTCACGTCTCTTTTTCACTTAATTCAGACTCTTTTTCCAGTTAATTCACGTCTCTTTTTCACTTAATTCAGACTCTTTTTCCAGTTAATTCACAGCTCTTTTTCACTTAATTAAGATGTCTTTTCCAGTTAATTCACGTCCCTTTTTCAGTTAATTTACGGCTCTTTTCCAGTTAATTCACATCTCTTTTTCATTTTATTCAGGGCTCTTTTCCAGTTAATTCACGTCTCTTTTTCACATAATTATGATCTCTTTTCCAGTAAATTCCTCATTAACTTACTTACCGTGATGCAACAATTATCAAATGTTTCTCACCGTTTTCCGACCAGACGAATACCAAGCTGCTTCGTCTGAACCTTAACCAAAGTGATCTTCAGTATTTCTGAAAAGATGAAAGGAATGAACGAAATAATACACAAGGAATGTCATTTATACTGAATACACAACCTATATACATTGTAACCTATTTCAGTTCCCTTTTACACAGACAGTCAATACAAGTCTTAAATCTTAAATTCTTTCTTTCCCCCTTCAAACACAAAGTTAACATCGTCTGATCGCCCAATCCAGTTTCTTCCCCATTCAAGACTATGGCCTATGCTATGAGCAGTCATATAGCAATGCCTATCCCCTTTCTCCAAATTAGTCCGAACACTTTCTCTCTTTTCTCCAAGTTAGTCAAAACACTTTCTCCCCTTTCTCCAAGTTAGTCCGAACACTTTCTCCCTTTCTCCAAGTTAGTCCGAACACTTTCTCACGTTTTTAACAACTCATACAATCTTTCTCCAAGTTAGTCCAAACACGTTCTCACGTTTTTAACAACCCATACCATCTTTCTCCAAGTTAGTCCAAACACTTTCTCCCGTTTTTAACAACCCAGACCATCTTTCATCAAGTAAATCCGGACAATTTTCCCGGTTTCCAACAACCTTACCCTCCTTCTCGATGGGCCTGCTCTCCTCCGCCCTCTCCCGGTACACCGTCAGTCGACACAGGGGGAAGCACTCGCTCAACGCTCGCACCGCCTGCAGGTGTGTGGCCTGTGTCAGGTCCTCCCCGTTCACCTGCACATCATACGTAGTTTTCAGTTTGGTTTCAGTCTGATACATCGAAACCAACATGCATGGAAAACCAGAGCAGGTTTTGCTTATGTTTTTATTTGGGCACACTGTTACAGTGACCTACCTCCAGAATCTGGTCGCCTGGCAACAGTCGGCTATCTTTGTCCACCACTGCCCCCTTGATGACTTCCTGTATCACCGTGCATACCTGTGGAATACACGCAGACTGTAACATCACAACTAGGGCTGGCTAAAAAGATTGATAATCGTCGATGGGAATAAAATATTAACAATTATCGATATGAAATCGTTGTCATTGATAATAACTTACACAAACTATTGTGATGAAATAAAGTTTAGATTTACCTAAATCGACTTGTTATTGTCAATGACGACAATTGTCAAGGACAGAAAACAACTGTTTTTGTTATATCTCAAATGTCCACAAAGTAATCTATGCATAAATGTTTCACTGCTTAAAGTGGGAGGAAAGCCCGAAGTGATGCAGGTCTCAGACGTTTATCCCTTCCGTGAAACCAACGAGCACGGGTATGGTGCTGACAAACCTAGAAACATAATCGGGGTGAACCAGGATTCAAACCCACAATCATAGGTTTTTGGTGTGCCCAAGGGATGCAACTCTGCACAGACGACAAAGAGTGAGTGAGTTAGTTTGACTAGCAAGTTGACTGCAAGACTTGTCCAGCAGATCTTACCAGCGGCGTATCACATCCCCCGACGACGCTGATCCCCAGGTCCTGGCTGTGTTTGCCGGGGGAGGCATTGTGCGTGTCCATCTGGATCTCGATGGTGGACACCTCTCCCTCCACCACTGGGTTCTGACCTGCGGTCAACAGTCACAACATCAGTCAAACATCCCATTGCACTTGTGTTGGTTTGTTTGTTTTTGTTTGGTGTTGAACAATATAACAACTATATGACAGCAGTCAATAAATAATTGAGTTTGGACCAGACATTCCACTGATTGGTATTACATTTTTGGTTGGTTTGTTGTTTAACGCCACACTTAGCAATATTCCAGCTATATGACGGCGGTCTGTAAGTAATCGAGTCTGGACCAGAAAATCCAATGAGTGACATCATCAGCATCGATCTACGCAATTGGATTACGATGACATGCATCAACCAAGTCAGCAAGCCTGACCACCCGATCGCCTTTTGCGGCAAGCATGGGTTGCTGAAGACCGATTCTACCCCGGATCTTCACGGGTCTGTTATGAGCAACATGTCATGATGAGGGTGTACGATGACATGCCTTCAGCCAGGTTACTAAGCCTGAAAACCAAAGCCGCTAGGTCGCTTCTTACGACCAGCAGAGGTTGCTGGGGCACTATTTAACCCAGAACTGAGGAAATCCAGTTCCAATTTCAAACAGAGCACATTGTAAGTAATCATATCTTCAGGTGTAGTTTTAGAGATAATAGCATGTGAGTACTATGTCATCCCTTTTTGGGTATATGTGTGTACAATACAAACAGGAGTAATAATCTGCTATCTTAAATCAATCTTTTTAAACAAACAAACGAATATCTGGAAAATATTAAGGGGTGAGTTGTGTGCCTTAATAAAATTAACCATATGATTCCCACTGACACTCACAAAAATATACGTCAGTACATTCTTGGCTGGACAGAAAGTTGTAATGGCAAGCTCCACACCGGTGGTAGTGATGATACTGTGAAAGTAACAAAGGGCTTACAAAGAAAACACTGCCATGGAGCTTGTGCAACTCCAAGGGGATATAACTGCATACCTGCATGTTGGTCCTTGTAGGGACATTCCCACAGGTGGCTCTGTAAGGCACTGCGTGGACCCTGAAACGTGCACCCAAGACTGGCCTTGATACACCGCGTCACCGCACCTCGACATCTGGAGCAGGGAAAGTCACAGGGTTCATAAAACATCCGATCAGACAAAAACAAACACAAATTACTTAATATTATGGGTACAGGCCGACTTTTACGACCCAAATCCAAGAAATTTAAAACAAAATCGGCCAATCCCCGAAGCCAACTTTCTTTAAAAATATACTATCACAAACATGTTCTTCATTTTACTGAATTCAGAAGAGTCAACACATAATGAAAGGCCAAAGCAATGGTACCCAAGCAGGAATTTATCTGGACCTGCTCAGAGGCCAATATTCCTCCCCATGTCTGCAGTAAATGACTGGTAAAATACCAACTTTGAATAATAAAATTCCAAATCCTCAGATTTACAAAAAAAAAACATTTAAAAAATCTAATTTTGAAAAATATCACCATTTTTTCCCTATTTGCCTGTCAGTGGCACTTTGTTCGGAATCCTAGATAAATCTCTGCAAAGACTGCCATTCTGATGAGAAAATCCTGAGTGTCTGTTGTTTGTTTAATGCCACACTCAGCAATAGTCCAGCTATATGACAGTGGCTTATAAAATAATCAAGTTCGGAACCGACAATCTGGTGATTGGAATGATGCTGTCCATGCCATCAGGAGATGAGGTCACGCAATCAACCAACTCACAGACAGACCAGCAGATTCATTAAGACCCCTGTACAGACAAGCTTCCCGTGAAGATCCGGGGTAGAATAGGTCTTCAGCAACCCATGCTTGCCGTAAAGGGTGACTATGCTTGCCGTAAAAGGCAACTAATGGAATCGGGTGGTCAGGCTTGCTGACTTGGTTGATGCATGTCATCGTATCCCAACTGCGTGGATCAATGCTCATGCCGTAAATCACTGGATTGTCTGATTACTTTCAGACCGCCATCATATTCCTGGAATATTGCTTAGTGTGGCGTTAAACAAACAAACAAACATACAACAAGCATAGGTTGCTGGGACCTACTATTACCCAGAATGCCCACGGAAATGACCTACCTGTGGAGGAGGTGAGCTTCAAGATCGGAGCGCTGCAACACGTCTTCACAATAATCAACATTAGGACACACGATCAGCAACTTGTCCAGCAATCTGTAACAAGGCAACGGATGTTATAACAACAGGCAGACAGGACATTCATTACACCATACACAGACAAGCGTTACATACTATTATATACCAGAGGATTCCAAAATAACAATAATAATAATAATGGAAAAACTCTTGTAGTGTGTATTTGATATCACAATATTAATGTCAATTTTATCAAACATCTAACAAAATGGTATCAATCCTACATATGACATAGAAAATGGTTCCCTATACAAGGACATGCTCATAATATTAAACACAATGCTTCAAATACGAAACAATTTCATTGTCAGAATATAACAAACAAAGGCTGGAAACAAAAGTTTGAAGATGACTGTAAAGTGACTCACTTCACATAAATCATATCACAATTACTTCATTACACTGCCTTCGATAATCATCCCTGACGAGCAGCAGCGGCAACAACTACTTAGATGCAGATGTCGCTGCTGTTGCTGATCAATATCAGATGATACCTGGTGATGTTAGAGTAGAGTCAGGAACTGGCTACTTCATCATCATCACCATCATCATCATCATCATCATCATCATCATCATTTTGATCAAAATCATATTCAACTAATCAGTTTTTATTATCATTGTTCATATAATCTTAAATATCATAATGATCTGTAATATGATAATCATCATAAAACTTTATTGTCATCACTATGAATATTAAAGAACCTCTGCACAGAACACTGTTTTTCAACAGTGCCATTGATATGCTCAAGAGAGGTTGTGCTCACCTGGATAAAATTCTTGAGAAATATATTTAAAGCTTTTGTGTTGTTAACTGTCTCAAATTGATTGATTGATATGACATACCCACCATTTCAGCTCATAAACCATGACACTTAAACCCTGGAAACCAAAATGATTCCACAGATATGGACCAAAGCCAAATTCAAGACAAACTATTTAGGATAGCTTTTTAATTGCTATCCATGACCGAGATGCTTCACAAACTTTAGTCTCAAATTACATTATCCTATTAACTGAAGCTTAATCACCATTTAATGAAATATCTTGGTTTTGTTTCATTAACATCAAAGCCATCAGCTGAGCCCATGTTTCAAAATGGCCGCTGCTAATGAGCCTCTCTCTGATGCTTGTTGACCCCAATATAATCCTGATCCTGCAAGTAGTGCAGTCCATATATCATTTATTAACCCCAACATATAAACCCAATTTACAATAATTCCAGCACTAACATTGATAGATTTCTATCCTTGAAAGTCTTAATCTGCCATTTTTTCTTCTGCCTTTTGGATCATGGAAACTTTGGATCTTTGCAGTGTGGTCGCTATTTTTACCCAACAAAACAAGCCATGTGGGGCCTGGTTCAAGCGAGAAGGAAATCAGCAGTAGCTCTGACCAATGTGAATAAGGTGAGGTGAGGTGAAATGGGGTTTAATATCGCATCCAAGATTATTGCACTTAGATAGCGACGTGCATGCACGTATGTGTGTGTGTGTGTGTGTGTGTGTGTGTGTGTGTGTGTGTGTGTGTGTGTGTGTGTGTGTGTGTGTGTGTGTGTGTGTGTGTGTGTGTGGCTGCTTGTACTAGTCTGGACTGATGTAGATTTATAGTGCTAGCACACTGAGATACCATGCCGCAGTTTAACATGAATACCCCACTCAGACACAGTACTGACTCCGACCCGACCAGTCCTTGTTTTAGCCCCTTAATGCCGAGCGCCAGACAGGGTAACAACACGTACCATCTTTTAACGTCTTTTGGTATGACGCGGCTGGGAATTGAACCCCGGACCTTCTGCTCTCCGGGCGGACGCTCTACCATTAGACCACGGAGGCGGTCTGAATAACATTAATAGGCCATTTATATTGCACTTATTTCCACACCACCCAGGGGCATGCTCAAAGCGCTATTATTACCCCGATCACTGGATCAGTTTGCACTCAACAATCATTCTGAGCTCCCCGGGGAACATACAACGCAATCTGTCTGTTAGATGCTAGAAGGTTAACAACCACATTGCAATGTCCTCCTACCGGGTACCCATCCACTGCTTGTTGAACAGAAGGACATTTCAAAGTTTCATGTGCTACAGTGTGGGGCAGGATCAAAGCCCAAGAAACTCTCCGCAGTCAAGCTGCCAAGTCACAGTCACCCATCCAACGACTCTCCGCATCTGACGTTGCTTGACTTCACACTGTGTATACACACCTGTGAGGTATTGACCATGAACTGAAAAGATTCCTCTTCATCTTGGAAATATATTTAAGGACTAACACTCACAGCATGACAGGGTTGAGTTTATTCCAGTTGTATCATGGCGTGTCAGCTTAATGTGGTAGGAAAGCCCATAGTGATGCATGTCTTAGACGTTTACCACTTTCGTGAAACCCACGAGCATGACTATGGAGCTGACAAACCTAGAAACATAATCGGAGCGAACCAGGATGAGAACCAACAATTTTTGGCATGCCCAAGGGATGCAACTCTTCACGGCTAATTGTAGCCCTTAGACGACTGGGCCACCCATGTCACATATATAAATATCTAAAAACTGAATCCCAACAGTACAGCAGACACGTATTGCAGACGCATCTGTCTCAAAGATGTTATCTGCTATTGGCCATCTTACTCATCATAACTCTTACCATAACTACCACCAAAATAAGCTCTAGGTCATCAGTATATGGCTTCAATATTGCCATGGCAATGTAAAAATTTACGACACTCCTCTTACAGCTTATCGAGCTACACCGGTAAGTAAATTCTTTCTTCCAACTCACACGTCCGCTTGCAATATTGCTAATTTCTTGTTTTAATAACAGACAAGCATCAAAAGTCAAGATATAATTCTTACAATCAATAACTGAGCCTTAGAGAAATGATTTAATCAACAAACCCAACATTTCACCTAGGCCAAATCATTCTAATTATTTGTTCTAACACTGAAAATGGCTGCTGTGGAAACAAACCCCCAGCTTCTTCATCAAACTTGTGTACCTCCGTGAACTTAATGGTTTAGTTACCACAGTCAGACAATATTCACTTACACACACAAACATAAAATTAGGAGAATAATTACATTGATCATGCGATCATTGATTACCTACGAGGTCGATCACTGTCACCTGGTTATCAAGAAACAATAAAGACACGGCAATAAAGGCGATATTTGTTCCACTTCGGTAGTTTCTTCACAGGGGTTTGTACGGGTCAGAGCAGTAGCCAAGATCCATGCAAGTTGGGGGCAATTAAACTGGCTAATTGTTCTTTCATGGACCTTCCAGTTTGTGTGAAACATTTCAACTATTTTCCTAATGGTATTAGACTTAGTAACTATCAAGACGAATCCAATACTTATTGAATTTTCGTCTTTTCTTAAGTGTCTCTTCCATGAAATTTTGAAATGCTCTTTTACTGTTTTCTGATTAGCTACATTAGCTGCCTGGGGAGTCATGGGAACTGTTTGTATTGGGTCAGATGCACTATCGGATTTGTCTGATTGGTTGGAACTTGGTCTGTTGTTGCCAAAGTGAATAAGGTTTTACTCTGATGACGTTACATCTGTCTGAAGTCAGCTGCGTTATCTCCATGTTGGGGCAGGCAAACCGGTGGCAATCTCAATAAAACCAGTGGCAATCTCAATAAAACCAGTGGCAATCTCAATAAAACCAGTGGTAGATGGGTATATTTTGTAAACAGTAGGGATTGGTATAGGATGTTTAAAGTGTATCAAAATATTTTATTTGGATACGTTCCACAAGATATTGCATAATTCAAAACTTTGAATTAAGAAGCAATTTGAAACATCAATGCAGGAATTGAAGTTCATAAATGGAACAAAACAAGATGCTGGAACAGCATAATGTCTACTCATTCAATAAATATGCAATTGGTGTTACATCACTGCCACAGACAAACTCCAGAATATGAACTGGCATTTTAGAATTATGGAAACATGTATTTGTCGAGAGTATAACATTAAACACCTGATAATAATTGCTATTTGAAATGACCTGATATACCGAGCATTAAAACATGATATTGTGATATGTATCATGGAAAGAATGAACCTCAAATTACCGATATAGCGGTATATATAAGGCTTAAACAAATAAAATAATTGGTCCTCAGGCAATGGCTTTTGAAAATAAAGGTGTGTGTGTGTGTGTTTAAACTAGTATGTAACCAAATAAACAGCTGTGGGAAAGGACCTCCCTACATAAATGTATTCCTTGATGAGTAAAATACTGAAATATGGTATTTGACTATCATTGGACTTGGAATATATTAAAGGATTTTTGTATATTTTTTTAAAATGGAAATAAATTTGAAATGTGCGGTAAACTTTATGATGATGTGGGCGGTGCCTGAGAACCAAGACTATTATTTTTTTTATAGCCTAATACCATGCACCATTAGTAAACAGTTTAAATGTTCTGTTGAGAGCAACACTCAGGCACTGGGATGTGTTCAGAGTCAATGGTTTTCAAATGATGATGTTTATCACATAATATATCATACATGCACTGTTTTGTATATAGGAAAGATGGAAGAACACATGGATGGAAGACGGAAGGACAGACAGAACATTCCAGTATCCCCCTCCCACATCATGGCAGGGGGATATAATCAATGTCAGTACAACTACATGTATCATAAGTCAACAATGACCTCAGGGACTTTCTTTATGCAATCACCATAGCACTAAGATCACTTGATTCATAAGATCCTTGGCACTGATCCACAAAGCTATCTTAGCGCTACTTGCCTTCATTGTTAAAATATTGGAGCTACCATCCGTAAATATGACAACCTTAGCGCTACTTGTCATAAATCATTGTTAAAATACAGGAGTTATCATCAGTAAATATGACAATCTTAGCGCTACTTGTCATAAATCATTGTTAAAATATTGGAGCTACCATCCGTAAATATGACAGCCTTAGCGCTACTTGTCATAAATCATTGTTAAAATACAGGAGTTATCATAAGTAAATATGACAATCTTAGCGCTAAGG